AAGAAAGAAATACAAAATTCATGGAAAAGGACACATTCTTCTAATTTGTAAAACTGCAGCAGAAGAATATGGAATATTTTTAGTCCATCAATGGGTGAGTCACTAAAAGGTTTACCTTGCAAACTGTATTGACAATAATTGTTTCAGGGAAGGATGTAGGTGCAAAATGGACGTGACGAAAGACTGAGGGACCATTACAGATGTTGCTGCAGAATTGAGATCACCTTGGCGTTGGCTGGTAAAAGAAGGGTAAGGCAGATTCTGGAAAGAGCTAGGAAACAAAACAAAAGAAGAGAAAGAAAAAACAAACAATAAATAGTCTCTATCAGGGGAAGTGTAGCTAAAAAGACCTGCCCCGGAATCGGACAAGTTTGGTGGTGGGTGCCTCAGGACCCGACTAACTTTTTAGGGAAAAGGGCGTTGGAGGTGCGGCCGTGGCTTTTCTGGGCACGTGTTGTTGAGTGGTTGCAGCTTCCACTATTTGGGAAGTGAAAGAGGTGAGGGTTTTGTCACTTGCAGATTTTGTCGACTTCGGGCCTTCTCATTATTGGATTTTTGATGAAATCCCACCCAGGGGAGACAAGTCTTAGTGATGAGGGACTAAATAATTCATGTCAAGCCAACGTCTCAGGTTCTTGATTTTTAAGCAGATGAATTCAGCAGCAAGGATAAGTTTAGCTCCACACAGACGCAGTTGATTGTTTAATTAACAAGCTATTATATATAATAAACTCAATGCTGTTTGATTAAAATAAATTCAATGTCTAACTTCACATATGCTTCTTTATTATTTTTAGTAAACCCCAACCATTTAAATCAATGACCTCAAAATGAATTATTTTTTGTAAAACTCCTCAATTAGTATTTAATAATTTTACAAATATTTTCTCAATAATTTTATCAATAGCCTCTTATTGCTTTCGAATAGTATATAATTAATTAACATTTTTAATAACCTAAATTTCCTAAATAAATAAGCATTATTTGTAAGACTTATCTACGATTAATTAGTAATTGAACCTGTAGAGTAGTAGTAATTCTTAAAGCTGTTGGTTGGTGGATACATTCCTTTGTTGGCGATGAGCCGCAAGTGACGGAGAAAATTGAACACGGCAGACGAGTGTGTCCACCACAAAATTTCAACCAACAAGGCAAAGTTGCATTCGTCTTAGGTTATCTGTGGTCCAGCGGTGCAAGCAGAAATAACCCTAGCTTTACGGACCACCGATTTCCAGAGAAAGAAGGAAGAGGCTTTCTGTAATAAAAGGTCAAACAGTTTATCCATTCTTCAGTCGACAGCGTTAATGAACAAAACTTTCTGTCATTGGAGGGAATTTTTATTTTTTTGCATCGGAATAAACTGGTCCTCAGTAATAAGGAGCGGATGACGCACCAGACAACAATCAATTTCAGAACAAATTAAAGGTAAAGCTCAAACAGAACGGATTGACATCACTCACCACTGTAGCTCTCGCTGTCATGGATTGACATCAGGCCACCTTCACCTTACCACTAATGACTAACCCAAGCCAATGCCTAAAGATGTATCCAGGGCACCCAATGCCTCAAATACAACATAGTAAAAGCGTGTGGAGAGAGTTGATTTCCCAATCAAAGGCATATAAATTCTAGCATCTAGCAACAAAATATACACATGTACATTTGTAGGCATGTATCTATAACTCAATTTGACCCTCAGGCCTCACTCCGCCTCAGCCAATTTTACAAAGTGCTCCTCCGACTAGGGGGACAACTACTTTGCAGCAACCAAGGGCTTCCCATCAATATAATATTGTACTACGTCCCAGAAAAGGACAATCAGTATTACCACTTAGGTCAAGGTGCTTGTTAAGCTCCTAGGGCAGGAGTTGTAGTTCCCAACTGGTTTTTTACCATGCTCAAGGCAAAATTATCTTCGAGATAGAAAGGAGCATTGAAAATTTTAAGAGAGCAATTAAAAGCTTAAATTTACTCTAAATTCAAGTCTAAAAAAACGCTGATGTCACAAAATTTTATAATTACCCCTGTGAACAAAGTTCAAACCGTTCCTCGTTCATTTCTATTTCTGCTGCCCCACCAAAAATAAAGGATCCACGCATAAGGTTCATTGGGAAAACACAATAAAACTCCTACATATATGACTGGAGATAGATGTGGAGTGTGCCCCTATTCACATGAGCTTTGCCCTTGAAAAGTCCATCTCAGGATGCTGCAAAAAATCAAGTTAAAGCAGATTTCATCAGCTAAAGCTTCATAAAGGGAGTAATAAAGTAGGAACAAGGAGAGGACAGCAATATGTATATGTGGTGGGTATGCAGTTATGCGCATCAAGTTCCTGAAGGGAGTAGTTACCTCAGACATAAATTTCTTTAGAATTTCCTGCTTCTGAAGCTCATCACTGGTTGGAAGGCCCATGGCCTTCTGTCTCTGGTCAAACTGCATGGGAGCAGAAGTTTATAAGTACAATTAAAATGAATCAAAGTTTACAAAAGAAAAAGGCTATAACCTAAATGTATAAGACCAATACTTATGAGACAAGCAAAATCTCTTCCAGAACCATAAGTACAACCACAACTGGAATTATAAAAAAAAAAAAAAGATTAGGTAATTTGACATGATCTGAGATGAGGGCGCTTGTGGTAGATAGAAATTACCCAGATGCAAAATAAAATG